TAATTAAAATTGAAAATTGAGATATGAACTTAAAAGCCTCAAGTCTTTCGTTGCAATTTACAATCAATTAAATCAAATCAATCGTTGTCAAGTATACAATTAATTATTCGTTATTCCTCTGCTACCAATTTGTTTGGTTCCAAATTTGCCCGTTCGTTCGTTTAATGGTAAATTAGCTAGATTAATACACTCCATTAGTACCTATTAGACCAATCAGATCGGTGATTGTTTCAAATTCTAACCATTGATTAAAAGCTATAGGTAGTTTTTATCACTTATAATTGCACAAGAGGTTTGTATTTTACCGAGTAAATTTGGGTTGTTTAGGTAATGAAAATCTGTTACCTAGTAATTAGACGAGAAAAACTGTCAACTAATAAAAATGCGACACCGCAGGTGGAGCATTTTTAGGTTGACAGTTTTTCGAGTGCAATTGCTAAAAGGAAACAGATTTGAATTGCCACAACCCAAATTTACTCGGTTTAAATACAAACCTCGAGTGTAATTCGGCAGGACAATTTAACGAACAAGAAATTCACCAAATTAATCAATTATTGACAGACGTCAAACTAGTCATATGGGAAAGGATAATGCGATTATTGGTTCGAAAATGAATAAGTGAAAAAACCACTAGTGCATTTGTCGCTGGAAAAGTTGCAGGTAACTTTTGCCGCTGTCAAAGTGACAATTACACTGCGGCTTATGTGATTTTTTATACATGAGTTGAATTGTCAGCAATAAAAATGCTTGTAGGAATGCGTAAAGTACCTATAGTGGTTGTGAAATTTACTGTCTTGCATTAATCTGCCGAAAATACACTCGATCTTGGTTTTAATTCAGGATAATTTTATTTTTAATATTAATTCACTCAAATTTTGTTACCTCCTGGAAAAAACTCTCGATCAAAAGCATAAGATAAAATCGCGACAGGTTTAGCTGGACTTTTTTCCTCGCTTTTTTCAGTTTTTCGCTTAAAACTCAAAAACGATCCCTATATTTTATGAATAACATTTATTTAGTAAAACAAGTTGTAAATCAGCATATGCATGATTAAAGCGCATTTTTGGTAATGCAGGTCAGTATTTTATTAGCGAAGTTTAAAAATTATCGATCTCACGAGTAATTTTGGCTGCGTTAAATAATTAATTTTATTTAATTTCAATTGACGGTACGTCTTCATTTTGTAAAACAAATCACAAAGTAAATAATAAGTTTTTATCTCGGTTTTTATACTGGTAGTGCTATCTGACGGTAAAATTATAGCACCTCCGAAACCCATATCGAAATTATTTTCTTCAATTATCGATCTCACAAGTAATCTAACTCAAAATAGACTAGTGCCTGCACATCTACACTATAGCAGAAAGCTTTTAGTGAAAATTTGAAGTCTCTAGCTATTGTAGTTGTGGAGATCTAACGCGGACAGCCGGCCTGCCAGCAATAACGAATATAATAGCGTATTTTTTTCAAAAATGCGCTAAAAAGAAAAAAAAATTCTGCGTCGATCAAAGGATGAACAAACAAAATTGGTCCAATAGAAAAATTGTTAAAAGCGATCAATAAACACTCATTTTTTCCAACTTTTCTAAAAAACTTTGTTAACCTTTTTTTAATTCGTTGCGGCTCCTTAAGGAACGGTAAATGGGTACTCCCTTCCTAAAGATTGTAGAACATCCGAGTTCAAAAAGTACCATAAATGTAAAATTGGACCAATTTTTGAAATTTGTTGAAAATTATTGAACGAGCCGGAATGAAGAAGACTCATCCGAATTGCTTGAATGGCTCTCCCAACACCACCCTTTCACTGCAACTGGTCAGTCCGCCTTACTCCTTATCTAATAACTGGCAAGCGAAAGTGTATTTCATTTTATATTAATATAAATTGTAAGGTGCTGCGTCATGAAAACAGCAACCCCAAACTTGTAAAGTCCCTAAAGAACATTGTTTTGGGTGTAATGCTTGCCAAAACCACGTCTTTTGTTCAAGTTACTAATGATTTTGGACATTTTCTACCTCTAGGTACATTATTTCAAGTTATTTCTACATTGTAAGGTACTTCTCTTTAAAAAACACACAAACCCAAATGACATCGTTTGTAGTTGCTTTACTACCATAATGATTTCATTTCCGAAATTCCTTAACTAACACGCTTCAACTACAGTATTTTTAGTTAATTTTCATATAAAATTTAATGAGCTTGGTTTGATAAATAGCCCCCGAAATTTAAGAATTTTCTACAGCATTTCTAAAGTGCTTTACAACATCCCTAGGGGCGTCGTTTGGGGATCAAAAAAGCCCCTCCTTGGGTAGGAATTTTACAGATCAGAAAGGCATGCTCGAAACCTGGGTATAGCCGCAAGTTCAATCGTTCCATTTGTCATGGTTGCTGAGACACATACCATTAAACACTCATGCAAGAGGTAATAATACAAGTTTAAGACCAAATTATCTGGTCGGAAAATGCGAAAAATGGAAATCTACTTTTCGATTCTTCAACTCTAAAGAAGTTTGTGAATACGTTGATATATTCAATGAATTTTTGGACCAATTAAATCCCTCTAATTGCTAGTCACCCTTTTCGTACAGTTTTTAGGCATAAGGTGACACAATAATCTTGAGTTGCCTGTTTCGATTTCAAGATTTCATTTTGCGAATGTATTTGGTTCACTCGTATATCAAATTACTTCAAAATTAGTAAACTCTGCGACAATATAATTAAAGTTAATAAAAAGGCAAGTGCGGTTTTTGTTAAGAATGAAATTATCAACAGACTTCTAAACACCTGTTTAAAATGCCGACGCGGCCGACGCAATGGACTACACATGTGTTTCTAATTTTAGACTTGGATAGATAAGATGATTGGAATTGTCATGTATAAATTTTTGATTTGGAAAATGATTGATTGAAACTAACGGCATGTTACATGTATGGAGGTAAATTTCCATACACTATTTAGTCACATTTTACCTATTGTCCAACTCCAAAATCATTTTGCATTGTATGCCCAATGTTTAAATGTAAAAATCCAAATTACTTACTGCACTTTACGCGGTACTTAATCTGTGCTTGTCAAAATTCACCCTTAGCTTTCTTGCTTTCGGTACTAGGCACTCTCCTACGAACCATTTGAAATTTTTGGAGACCATTCCGCACAAGATGCACTGCACTTCGCGATAACACGATCGAATTATTTGATCATAAGTTATATTTTTGATGGAGGGGCGGTAACGTAAGTAGGTAGAAATTAATCACCTGATGCGCTTATCTGCACATGCGGTCACTTTTACCTTTCAATAATTATTTTGCCGTACCGAATGGTCGTTCCTGATAAAATATGACATGTGAACTACAATTTGAGATTGTGTTCTAAATTAATTTTCATTCTCACATGGAAAAAGTCAAAATCTGACTTTCCTTGTCTACCTTCCAATTGCATTTTGTCACTGAAATAGCTTTCTTTGGCTCGTTCAAAAATAAACTTGAGCTTCTAATTGTTTTACTCAATATTGCCACGCAGTATTTGAAATATAACAATCGCCAATATTGTTATTAATTTATAATACCTGTGAGAAGGTGCGCGACGAAACGTAGGTTTTTCTATATGAAAGCGGCGGTAGTAAAGTATTGGAATGGAGTGTCAAACGCAAGTAGGTATGAGGAAGAATTTAAGACGATTTCGAAAGGAAATATGAACCGTTTTCGAGTTTTAAGCGAAAAACTGAAAAAAGTCCGTAGATTTTGAGGTTTTTGGGCTGCCAAAAGTTGTGCCTGGAAAAAATTGATGTGCACTCTTCAAATAAATGTTATTTGGACCCAAATGGACCATTTAAAATGATAAAATCGTTTACATCACGTTTTACAGGAATCGGCCCCACTGACTGCTCCGCATACTGGAGAATATTTTTATCTAGAGAGAAATATTTGGTTTTGGTTTTGATAACAAGAAATTTTTTTTAATTTTTTGTCATGCTACATAAAAGGGTAATGAGAGGTGGTATTTCTTTTGGTGAAAATGTGTATCAGAGATATACCTATTAGGGTATATTGGAGTAATTCGATGACTTACGCTTCAAAGGCGAAGGGCAATGCTTTCAATTCGCTCACTCCCAACTGGTGTAATAATACTTAATTTTCAATTTATTTAAATTTCCTAGTTTCTTCTCACATTTTCTGGATTTTTATATAGTAATTTATAACATCTTGTGCAGAGGAATGAGATATATTAGTCATAAAGAATACTTCATTGTCTGTTTTTGTGTAAATTTTCAGGATTTTTGTTTAACACTTTTGGATTCATGTTTACATTTTTTGGATTTTTCATGTTTTTCATTGTTTAGTTTTATATTTTTTGAATTTATTCATTATTACAGTTATTTAGATTCTTGCGCTTTCTTTGGATGATCCTTCTCGTTTGTTAATTTTTTTCCTTTCCTTCATTCAGATTTTTTAATTCCATTAAAACCTTCAAACTTTAATGATTCCATATATATCGATGTCTTAGCTAATTTATCGTGTCATTAAAAATTTTAGGAGTAATTTAATTCCTTTTTGGCGATACTATATGATATGGGAATGATTTCAGTCGGCTCTACTATGGGCCACCCTTTCATTCAGATCGCCCCATACCCATTCTTTGGCCCAAGGGTGAATTCCATTTGGTATGTACATTCGTCTAGGGCCTTTTCTAGAGCAGAGATCAAACAATGTTGTTTTCGAATAGCCGAAAGTGAATTTTTGAATAACATGGTGACGAAAATCCTATATGTAACATAAATGGCAGTAAAAACATGTAGTAGACAGGAAGCAAAAACTATCTGGCGTCTACAAATATGTCCATTGTCCATGTATAAAAATGACAACTTTTGGCAGAAGAGTCTAAAGGTCGTCTGATTAGCAGGCTTATTGGTTTTTGGTTTCAGTTTTCGAACTGTTAGTAAATAGGAAGCTCTCTTGCCACAGCAGCAGATACAGGTATATCGTTGAGTAAATTAGACACCAGAAACAATTCAAGCGGTTATTTAATAAAACCCTCACTGTTAGTAGTCTAACCTAATTAATCTTGCCCTACGTACAAAACTATAAGATTAATTACCTTTACCACAACTGATGTTTTGTTTTCAGTTTTTTATGTCAGCTATAAGAACCATACAAAATGTTTGATCGCCTTTCTTAATAGTAAATTCTGCGTGACCTCTTCCAGTACCTCCAAGAGGAATAGCGAAAGAACTCGTGTCGGGAACAAAGTTGACAAACTCGTACTTTCCCTAAAAAATAAAGATCTAATTTCGCTTGCTTCGTAGATATAACCAACCGCAGGTATCGTGCAGTCTCCTTCTAGTTTTGGTTGCGCAGCATGTTTGATGTCGTTCCACACTGACGCAGCAAATCTTTCAAGATAAAAACACACCTTACCTTTACCATTTTTACCGTTTTTCTCCCACTCGCCATCTTTCCACCAACGGAAATTCATAGTGAACTGCAATCAGATAGTCAAAGATATTGCGAATTCAATATTCTTTGGGTACTTCAGAACTTCTGTCAATTTCAAATGGAAAAGTAATGTCTCCTGTGAATTCCTGACCACTTGCAACAGATTTAGCTTCAATATTGACGTACGGTTCGCCTTCGGCACACGAGTTTAGTGATTCGGGTATTATTTTGGCGACCTGCAACCTGCAATATGAATTTGGGACAATTAAAATAACTTTACCGAATGTGCAATGTTGTAGTATAATAACATCAATTGGAGAATTTGAATGACAGAGACCGCCATTTTATCGAGTAGTGTGAACATAACCGTTTGCGAGCTTTTATAGGATTCGCGCACATTTTTTTAAAAGTAGGTAAAGCCGTCCTTCATTGACTTGTAATTTGCACACGCGAACATAAATTTAGTTGTTTGTGATCAGGAAGTTGTCACGCAGTATCACGAACTTTGAACACATTTTTTATGCATACCGAAGGCCCCAGACCTGCAACAGACCACCGACAACTTGGGTAATTACAAACTGGAAACTTGAGTTAGAAGGTGAATACCGGAAACTTATAGCAATTTTCTTACTGTCTGACTGGAAATTAAAAATTGAAAACTCAGTAGATACTAGGATTTGTAAACTGAAAACTGTAACCCGCAAAACCGAAAACTGCATCTTAGAATCTAGAAGTAGGAGCCGGAAAATGGAACCAGTAAATAAAACGCAAACATTGGACATAAGTTATTATTATTATTATTATTGTGCTAGGGGCGGTCACAGTCGGTTTCTGCACTGCGACCTTTTGGTCGCTTCGATAAGTCGAAGTTTCGTCCCCTCCCACGGACCTCAACCAGTCCACCGATCCTAGTCTGTGCATGTGATCAACCGCGCTCTCCCTTGGTGCCGACGTTCCATGAATTTGGACAAAGCGTCAACTCCTTCAAGGATCCAGCTCCAACAGTCTCAAAATTAGAGTCTTTCTTTCAACAACCATAATAAGGATGGAACTAACGGCATTAACATACTTCTTGAACCTTTGTTGTATCCTATATAATATGAAGTCTGCTCTTCGGGCATTTTTTTCTCAAAAATTTACTGGATGCCGTCCTTTGAGTGCTTGTTGATAACCTACTTGGCTAACTGTGCCAATTTTCTGGCCGCGGAACAAAAAAAAATAATTAAATTTTAACCGTTCTTCTATTGCATTCAAATAATAAATTCTATCTTACTGATAAGTGATAATAGACGTACTTACGTTCTCCGTAAATTCACACATAGGTGTCCACTCACTCCAGTCATTCTATAACAAAAAAAGGCGAACTTTTTCCGCTAGCTGGCTCGTTACCATCGCTTTTTACGTACCAGTGGTATTATGGAGTACCAAAAAAGTTCATGTTGCAACAATTAACTGGATACCTACAGGCCAGAGACGAGAATTTTGAAATCGCTGTGGAGGAGATTGTGAAATACATGGAGGAGCATGATGAACAATATTCTTGATTACTTGATGGGGGTAATCAATGGTATAAAACCAACCCCAGGTTGGTAAAAACGTGCTTCACTGTAATAGACGGTGGCTTCCTCCTACACCGAGTGAAATGGTATTCTAGCAGCACCTTCTCTTTAAGTTCAGATCAGTATGTGACCTACCTCAAAAAACATTACGGTGTTTAAAAAGAATCAATTGCACAAGTTTTTTTACAACCTCCACTGAACACCTGACGCAGTTATTCAACCTCAACATCAGCATCGCTCTCTTAGAGTGTTTCCCCAAGTTCAACAGTGGCTGGAGAAACCACTCTCTCCAGAACAATGGGGTGGGAAGAGAGGTGATGATGAACACCTGCAGTCCTACACCCAGTAAGGAACACAGCTTCGTTAGACCCAGAGGAAATTTTACAAACCATTTTCTGCCGTTGTGCTACCACCAACTGCGGGGTTAGCTGGGGGTGCAAGAAATCCGGCCGGCATATTTTGCACCATTACCTGTGCCAATTACCAAGGGAGCTGTTAAAACACTGTAGGCTAAATGGTATTAAGAATGATGTAATGTTTTAAAAATAAAACAGATCATCATTGAATACGCTCGTGTTTTTGTAAACAGGGCACTTAAATAAATGAAGTATTGCCAAGTTGTCGCCACCTTATCAATTCTCGAGTTAATCTGATAACATTGTATGTTTCACAATAAATTGATAACAATTTAATACACGGCCACATCTTTCAAAAAGTACGCTTATTGTTCCCTATCGAATTTTATTTTGATATTTTTAAGTGACCACACCCCAAATCCTAATGATAATCGTCAGTACCCTAACTTAGAATTGGTCCTGAATCATCCTGAAATGCGTGATCTCCACATCGCTGCCTTCACGCTTGTGTTAAATCTATTTCATGGGTTCAATTATTACTCTTCCAGCAGGAATGTTTAGTTTTCTTTTCTTCGATTTCCTCACGGGTTAAGATTCTCTTCAAAAAATCAAGGTAAACTGGAGTACTTCCAACAGGTGTCTGGTTTTCTGCAATCGCTCATCAACTTGTTTTTTTACTTTTCTTGCCCCCATTAGCCAGACAGTTCCACTCACTTATTCTTGTCCAATAAAAACGTTGCATTTATTAAATTGAGAGTCTATTAAATAATTTTTTCTGTGGAAATTTGGTCGAATTTTCTTCTTTACAAGTAAAATGTCAAATAGAAAATTAAGCCATTATGATGTTATATTAAAAAATTACGTTTTATTATAGAAATTGCCATTCTTCTGAAAACGAATCCTTAAGGGAAGCATTGATAATTGATGCAATTTTTAAAAAGGGCGTACTTGGCAAGGCTACATTACTCATGAAATTATCCATCATTTCAACTCGAGGTCATCAGAACCAAGATGGAGAGAATAGTATGGTGTAAAGACAAACTAGGCCTGCTCTAGGCTATATTTGACGGAAATCTGCAAGATACATGGCCTGGAACAAAGAACACCAGTACCATTTTTTGAAGCTTATGCAATTTTTAATGATAATATTGGATTAGTTTTCAATAATTGACTTATTATCATTTCTTAGATAACAAATACGTCCTGTTTACAAGCACCTGGCAAGTATGTATCTTATCCTGCCAGTGATTGATAATGAATAAAATATAAATGGCTCAATACCAAAAGTTTTAATTATCACAAATTGTTAGTAAATATGAAAAGTATTATTTATATTACCATTATCGTTGCATTTGCAACAATAATCCATGCAGAAACCCAAGGTATGCGTACCTATCGATTGTTTGTAATAACATTTGCTTCCTAAACAGATCAATTGAAAGCGGAAGATGTGAAGCGTTTACTGGCCCAAGATGAGATCCGTGCCGCATTAGAAGAAGCTTACAAAGATAAAGGTCACTTGCTATACCCACCGTCAATAAATTTGGATGGCAAACTTGCTCAATCTACTTTCAAGAAATCCGATATCTATGGAGATGGGCTGTGGGATATGGAAGGTGGGTTAATTGTCTGTCAGACAGGTTTTGATCTAATAACAGAATTTTTGGTATGGCGCAGTACACGGTTCAGTCTACTCAATTAATCGCAAATTTACCGATGACGAGGTTCGCGCCGTTTTTAAATATGTCGATACGGATGAAAATAAATTAGTTAGCGTATCTGAGGCGGTGGCTGCCGGTTTCGATGAACCAGCACTTAAGGATTTCCTGAGCAAATATGATGCAAATAAAGATGGGCAATTTAGCGTTGAAGGTAAGCTGCATCCCTTTGTTCGTACTGTGATGGTATAAATTTTTTATATTTCAGAGACCATCAAAGTGGCTCAGAACGAAAAATTGTAGGTAAGCAACGTCGTTTTGATCAGGAACATTACTGCTGCTGGAAAACTGGAACGAAAATCAAAATTAATGATGGATAATATTATCTCGAAAATGTAGTTTGTTGTAATGTGAAGGGTACATAAACAATAGTAATTCAAAGAGTTATTTATGCTTTTGCCAAGAATTAAACCAAAACCCATATTAAATAAGACAACATGCCATGCATTGGTCACAACATCCGCGTTTAAACTTGGGCAGGACCTTTTGGTAGATCACTTTTTCTTTATGTTAGTCTCCATTAACCAAATAATATTCTAAAGCATATAATAATAGAGTCTGTTTTTGAAATAAGTATCCGAGAAGGCGCATCATTTTTTTTAACATTATAAGAGGGTGCACTGTTACAAAACGATGTAGAAACCACCAACTTGTCACTGACGGGATAGCAAATTTTCTGAATTTTAAAATTAGTTGGATGTTTCTCGCACAGTATCTCTTTCGCTTTCTCTAGGAGCCAATTTCAAAACACGGAAATATCGATCTTGTTTTGGGCTTCTTTTAATTGATCCCGACTTTTGTGGTGAGCTGGCGTGGCTTTACACAGTCTACTGAGCAGCAATGGATACTGCAAGTGCAAATAAATTTCGTCAAACAATTTTTGGGAGTGGCAAGCGCTTTTGTTTGGAAGCTAATTTAAATTTTGGGAACATTTTCTTAATTTTTTTTAAATAACCTTTGGAAACGTTTAAAAAAGTAGCTAAGGACCATAGCACTATTTCGGGTATGAGTGGAGCTATCAAGAAAAGCAAAAAGTGCATTTACAAAAAAAAATTATATAGGGGATGTATGTGTCCAGTAATCGGTGCCACTTTAATGAATGTTGCACTTTGTTTGATTATCGCAGACCTTTTGCAATTGACCCTAAATTCCATTCCACAATGGGCATTACTGGGCTACCGAATTTAGAAATTTCAGCCCCGCAATTTCAGTGAGCAGCAGCTAATCAGTTGTGTTACAGCAAACCTGGTCTGATTAGATTATGGCTAGTCTCAAATGAAACGCACTTAATTAACATGAATTTTGAGATTGGTCCCAGTTTTTTATGATGACAAAAGGCCGAGAAGTTAAATAAGGAAGTTTTAATTTTTGATCGTTATCACCCGAATATGCCGCCCGATTGGAATTTCCGATGTTCTTTATCCGTATTTTGGGATGTTTATATAAGGTAACAGCACGATTTAGAGGGATCGTTTTCTATTTTGGGTTCGTGTCATTTTGGTTGAACGTACCGTTTAATTTCAAGGTACGCACTTTACATTTTCTTTCCGTAAGAAGAACGAGTGTTTGTTTTCAAATTAACTTGATTTAATTTGACCGACCGCTCGTTCCCTGGAGGTTTCCGCTTTTTCGTTCTGCTTCAAAGAATCTTATGAAAATAAAGAGTATCGGAAGAATTGGAACGAATTGAAGAATTTCCAGTGTAAGAAATCTAAAAGGTCTGAGCGATTTACGAAGTACCTACAACAATTCTGAAAAACTGACGAATTGAGAACAATTGATAGCAATAATGAAAAAAAACTTGCGAAGGCTCTGTAGAATCTAATAAAAAACTAAAATCGGATAATTTGTAGAGTGAGAACGATATCCATGCCCGAACCCGGATTCGAACCAGGGACCCTTAGCACCACAGTTCAGCTGAGAGATTGAAACCATTCTCTCTTGAGAATTCAAAGAAGCACACATGAATACGGTCATTAGAATTTGAAGGAGTTGAAAAATCGAAAGAATTCGATGACCGAACTTGCAGAAAAATCTGAACAATTAGAAGAATCTCGATGAACTGAAAAAAATTAACGGGGCCGTTATCTTGCGCCATACCCCTCCGATCAAATTCACTAGTCCCCCGCTGAGCGGTCGCAATAATGTTTTTTTTTACTATTTTTTGTATTCTTATAGTTACTTATGGCAACTTATTACGTAAAATACATGTAGGTAGGATAACCATTTAAGCGCGGTACATGCATCACACCATTACATAATTATGTCTGTTACACAACCTCATGTCGATACAATACGTTTAGTCACGAAAACACATATAATCATAATCATCATATTATAATCTTTTTTCAATTCAGTATCAACACGATTTTGATCAAATTGATGCCTTTTTATACAAAAAATGGAATTGTGTGATGATACCCTTCTCTGATATTGTTTTAAGGTTGTTTTTTATATTCCTTTCGGTCGTTTAAATTTTCGTATTTTGTGAAAACTCGAGAAAAGAGTTGAGAAAACCAAAAAGATATCATAGGATATACGTACAATAGAATAATTATTCTACAGGCACCCTGTAGATTATGTATGGGATATAGTATATATCTCGATAAATATCGAATCTATACACAATTTTTCTATATGAAAGTTTAACATTTTATTTCCCATAATAAAGCAACATTCAGTTGTTTTTATTTCAGACAACAAATGAATAACGAAAAACAATTGAATTTTATTAAATGGTGGTGCACCTTTTCATTAGGCTCATTTGATAGAGATTTTTTTCTCTTTTTGATGTAACATGTTTCAAAAAAATTATTATAATTACATCAATAACATTAATAATATACATATCCTACATCAAAATAAAACAAATGAACGTGTACGTTTGTTATTTAACCTTGAAGACAAAATGAAATTAGCAGTTAACTGGTTTTCATCGCAATAAGTGTTTAAAATATTTTTTATTATTAACTGCAAGGCAGTGAACTAAACATAATCACGGAGCGCTTGAAATAAATGTCTGGGTATTCTGGGAGAAATTACTGCAGCAATTATTGCTAATTTCGTGTTTAATAACAAACGTACACATTCATTTGTTTTATTTTGATGTAGGATATCTAGATTAATGTTATTGATGTAATTCGGTATAATACATTTTTTCAACATTTTTTGGGTACTAACATGTTACATCATTAAACAAAGAAAAAAATCTCTATCAAATGAGGCTAATGAAAGGGTGCATTCCTGTTTAAAAAATTCAATTCTTTTTAATTACTCATTTGTTTTCTGAAATCCAAACAACTGAATGCTGCCTTATTATGAGAAATAAAATGTTAAACAATATTCATATAGAAAAATGTTGTATTCAATCGATATTTACCGAGATATATATACTATATCCATACATAATGGGTACCCTGTGTATTATTACTAAATAGGAGAAATAGCGGTATTCTGCTCTCCCGGTTATAAGTGGTTTTAAAATGTCAAAACACCCTGTGTGTAAGTTTTGAATCTTGAACTGAGTATTATTATTAGTGCCTATGCAGTAGTATTGATCTTCTTGGAAACAAAAACCATAAAAAATTTTGGAAAGGACCCTCTAGAGTCTAGAGGGAGTCTCAGCTGCAAATTTTAATTTTCTCCGAAACGAAGGACACACAAAACTTGGGAATCGGCAATTTGGCAAAATGGGGTGTCAACACAACCCGTTCTTGCAGGGAGATGGCTTCAACAATACAATTAAGAATATACGAAGAATCGTTTGCTGTTCGGAAACAGTGTATCTGTCACCGTCACGGACATTGAAACAAGGGTTGAAGGGAGCTTGCTTTTGAGAAGATATGCGGTGAGGTATACTACTCCCCAGCCGACATGCTAGACGCCGACATGATCCAAACTTTGCTTTCATCACTGCCAGCTTATATCGTTTGCAGGCTGACTTATAGGACTCGTGCCACTGCACCTTTGCTCCGGGGGAGCTCTTTGAAAGTGTGGTATCAATGTACGCACTACCTTTTTCAGCCTGTCCAGTCTTTCACACCACCAGGACCCTCTCTTTGAGGCATACTTGGTTCGTATGACGGACCAACTCTATTAACCTCCCAGCAGGCTCTTAGTCTCTTGAGGATCGTGACACGAAGCACCACGTGGAAGGTACACAGGAATTTTACTCGAACATTACGCGTTGAACCGGACTGGATCTAAGTGTTTGAAATCACAGGTAAAGGAGTTTTAATTGGTAAATCGACGGTTAAGTCGATGCTGGCAAATTCACGATCTTATGCAGAAGATGGAGACCATAACATCAGAATAGTGGAATCATAGATTTATGTTTTCGGCAGCTTTTACTACAAAGAGCTTCCTATGTTATCTTTCTGGCCATAGTTAAATCTCACGTTCCTCATAACTACACCATTCCTTCAAATGAGGATTTCCACTTTTTACGACCCGCACGTTGGTAAGGGAGGTATTGGGGTAAAAAATGACCCCCCTCCTACGAAAATACACGATTTGAAACACCAGGGATCCAAGTCAAACGAAATCTCGATCATGTCGGTCTGTCTGCCGTAGTCTGTATCCTCATTTTCGGCTAAACGGGTGAACCAATTGGAACCAAATTTTGTATTCATACTCTTAGACATAAACGGAAGAGGTGAAAAGCTTTTGGGCGAAACGGGCATGCGCATGGGTACGGATGACATATGTGCTAGCCACAGCAAATTTTTACCACAACATGGAAAACAGCGCTCAAATTGCACCAGATACCAGAAATTGCACTGCTACTAATTACGATAATTATTACTATTAGGTTTGGTTAATGTAATACAGGTCTTACATGCCCCATTACATAGTCATTGGTTACATACACGTCAGTAGCTATATAAAAAGACGTAACTGACAAATACAACGCATTGTTTGCCACAGAATGCGTGGTGTAATCATGTTCTATATGGCTGCAATAGTCAACGTTATCCGGTCTGACCCCGCGGTATCACAAATCTCTTCTGTACTGCCCCTAACAGAAATAATTGCAGATGGGCCCAGTAGGTGCAATGAACATAATGGTTCTAGAGTCCAAACCTGAAGATGTGTTTGGAGATGATGTGATCTTTAATCCCAATTTGAAATCAATCGATTATCACGGATCAAAATCATTTTCCGCCAATCTGACGACAAAAATTCATTTAGATAGCTCAATTACCGTAAGCTCCTCTACTAAATTTGTAGCAAATGGTAGATGTGATGGTTTTACAGTACAAGCTCGAACTATACCAGTGGACAGATTTTGGATGTAGTTTCGTTATGAACCAGAACGACAATTTTTGTGCAAGGTTTCCAAAGAATACGCCGCATCTTTGGGAAAACGCCATGGCTGCATTAAAACCGCCCGTTACGGAGAAGTTCCACATTAGGTAATCCGGTACTTTTCGATTTTTTACGTTAAAAGCTGAAGTGAGGTTTTAGGGTTCTTATACGCTCGAAGATTTTCAAGTGCACTTGAGCGACTATCCGAAGTTCATTTTATATTACGGACACTTTAAGGCCACGATTAAACTATTTGCTGGGCTAAACCCCATTATCAGTATGTTTGTGGAGGTAATTACCCAAGCGGCGAAATGACGGGTTTATGTGTTTATTTACCTTCCTTTGGAGATTGATAATAAATTATAATTTGTATCATAAATTTCGGTGTGCATTTTTGTAATGTGAACCCCTTCCTCAATTGATTGTGCTATTACGAATTTGTGACCCATACCATACCATGGTCGTTTGATAAGCTATACCTGTCTCGTAGTGTTCAAATAATCGACAATTTTTGTACAACTGTCAAGCATGTGGGATCATTTATTCTTTGTGACAGTCGTTTGTATGAGCTCTAGTGAGTCCCCGATTTGGCATTGTGCGACATCTCGAGGAAAATGACCTATTATACAATTCTAAGAGACCATTTTTTCGATTACATTCCCCATAGATTCACGTGGCAGTGGATTGAGCTTAGGCGGCTTTTTACTACACTTAAGAATCTTTATGCTCAATAGCATTTTTTCCACTTTGTTTAAGGAACACTGCGGATTTAGTGCCAGAAAATGATGCAGTACGTAAGAGAAACCATCCTTAACAATGCTGTATTCAAAAAGACTGCAACGTGGGTCCAATAATAACAAGCGATGATTCAGGGGCATTATTCAGTTATCTATCCTAATGTTGCTAAATGTATAATAATTATCCAACTATTGCAAGACTAACCCCTTTAACCTGACATTGTCTAGCATTCCAAAGTGTGTAAAAAGCGGCACAAAGTAGCACAGATATTCATTTTTACAGTTTCAAACATGAGATCATACGTAAAACTATAGTCGCATCATAAAAAGATAATGAACACAACCAAAAATAGCACGATATCTAAGCACAAAATTCTGTAGTCAGATATTTGATACCTTGATATCGGAAATCTCAACAGATCCACCACAGGAGTCAGGTAGGGTGGATGAAGACCTACCGGAGTTCTATGCCAAACATCACACACGAGTTAAATTAAATCATTGGAAAATTTATGGTATTGAGACGTGGCCTGCAAAGCAAGTTCAAAAAATGGAATTGGATGTCGCGGAGCTGAGGATGCCACGGTGGATTATGGGAAAGATGAGACGGGAGAGTGCGGTGGTATTGGGAAATATTATGAGGGAAGATCGTAAAAGACGATGGATCTGCAGCCAGAAGAAGTAGTCTAGCTCCAACCACAAGAACATTTGTAAAAAAAAATTGTGAACGATTCTGTTCCTTCACGCCGGCCATAATTTCAGGCTATTATATAACTTTTTTCATAAATGAATCTACTTTAATAAAAAATATAACAAGGGAAAGGATTCTTCTGCGTGTCATGTATCGATGTTTTCCGATGTAATTATGGAGGTCAAAACAATCAATATCATTTTTATCAGCTATCTATCACTGATTTGTGCCACCTCTGCTTTCAAAGACTAAGGGAAATAAAACAAAATGATATTGACGATATATTCGAATACACTTCTAATTAAGTGGGCTGTTTATTCGTAATTCCATGATTTCCATGGAAATGTTTGCTTATAAATTTCGCCGTCTTTGTAAATACAATCACTTCGGTTGAAAAAACCGTCTATTCAGTGACTTGTTGCAGAAGCTGAAGAAAAGTTGATATCTGCAAAATCCCAATGCAAAAACCTATTGTAAGGAATATGAAACGTTGTTGGTGCGGATAAATAGGAAGCATCTTTCAAATAAAGGGTACGAGCCAAAGGCATCTTATGCATTTACAGAAAACGACCTGAGAGGATTTTTTAATTCAGGCCGTCATATTCATTAACATTTTGGCCATCTTTAAAACTCGTCGTGTTTTAATCGCCTGTATTCGCACGCTCAGGGGTGCTTTGAACGGCGATTCTGATGCAGGTATAATTAAAAAAATCATTTGATTTATCTCAATTAAAAAAAATTGTTAACCTAATTCGTTGTGTTGTGCTAATTTAATTTTTAAGGAACTTACTTCCGAGTTTCGTGCTTTTCCTAATTGTTGAGGTAGTACAAGGTGAATTAAATTGTTTATGTACATCCATTTTATTTGATTACAGGAATTTTTTGGTTTGGCTTAGCTTTATAAAAATGTTAACTGAAAAGCAGAGGAATATGACTTCATTTACTGCCGAACATAATCAATCACGTTCTCAAATCCATTAGATTTTTAATGCCAGTCTTTCATCATTTGTAGCATGTGTAGCTGGCCATTAATACTTCATATTGTGAACGCAATAGATACAACGCGTCTTGGAAAAAGTGCATGATGTAACATGTAACATAATTATCAGAAACAACCGGAAATGCTGAAGGAAAAACAGGAACTAGCTCTTTGTGACTGGTTTATGTAGCATGTTCCTCTACAGGATGTCCGTTATTAACGCAATGGTGAAGGTTAGCTGCCTTCAATAAATACGTTCACTTAGGGACCAGATGGTAAAGTATGTATTTATTTTCTGGAATCAATCTAGTCGCGCTGTTTCTGTTATGCGATACCAAAACGGTAAAAGAACAGATTTACAGTTATCAAACCCTTAATAACAATTTTTAGATGGGACCCCCCGGTACCATACATCTCGACCTAGTTGAACCATGTGGGGAAAATCCCGGAGGGGACGTGGAATTGGAAACCGATCTACATAAAATCGACGCTTTAGGTTCAAAGGCATTATCGGCAACCATCAGGATGAAAATTCCACTTGATGATGCAGTAACAGTAAGATATTGAATTTCACCTACTTTTCACACTTATTAAACTACCTACTTATAGTACAAAATCGAAGTGAGAAAATGGGATGACGGGTGGAAACTCCAAATGGACCACTCCGGTAAACTCTGCGAAGAGACAATGAAGTTCGCGCCAAAATTATGGGACCAGCTGAAATCGGTCTCTACTCCCGAAATGCCGGATGAATGCTCCTTGGAACCCGTAGGACAAACTAAATTGATGAGAGTATAATGTACCTCTGGTTTGTAGGGCGAGTACAAGGTGAAGAACCTTAAAGCAATGACGAAGGATATGGCTATACCTTCAATCTATTATGGAAAGTTGCAGGTTGAAATATGGTTTTATCGAGATGAAGAATTAATATCGTGCTTGGTGATTGAAGGGGATTCTCAGGCACCAGCTGGACAATGAAAAAATGTACTTCTAAAAATAGCGTCAAATTTCTCTTACTAATATATATTTCACACATAATTTGTCTTATTTATACGGCAAATAAACCGTACCATAAACAAAAGTACTATAATACTAGCCACTTTCTACGTTTTAACCTCACCAATAAAAACTTGAAATCGATGTTACTTTAAATGGTCTCTAGGACTGAAAACCTTTCGGAAGAGGTTCGAAAATGTCAAATCCCTTTTTTTGGCAACTAAATCGATATTTATTGATGTGGTTTCTTACCTAAAATAATATGTAATGAATTCTATTATTAATGAGTTCTGTCACGGATTCTGTTCAAATCGTTTTATTCTGTCAAAATCACAAAAATATTCTAATCTGACGTTTTACAAAAACAAAAACTCAACCTGAGTGCAGAGGTTGTTCCTAACACGGTCCGGCCGAAATAAAGTTTCAAATGCCGTGAGATTTTTATCTAAAATCGTCGGTTTCCGGTCAGCAGAAAACCGAAATAGCCAGCTCCTATCAACATTTCTATGGGACCGCTACCAGCTCTAATTTCTGTATCCTTTCCTTCAAGTTTAACCTTAACCTGTGTGGTATAGTTGGTTATCCGATCAGTCCCTAATACTTCCATTTCTAAAATAGTGTCTCTTGGGTGTGCTGTAATTCTATAGCAATTAAGTTCTTGTTCTTTTGATGTTACTCCACTGAAGATGGCAAATGCTACTTTTTCAGTTCCAATAATGGGCAATTGCAATGTTGTCGCGTATACTAATTATATAAGATCTCTGAGATCCCGAATCTACAAGGACTTGTACCTTACGAACTTATCCCCATCTTCCTCTAACTGGGACTAAAATTGTTGGCAAAATCGTAGCAACTGACATAACTACAGAGTTTGAAGATGTTTCCTTATTTTCGAATCTTTCAGGATTCGACTGCGCTTAACTCTTATTCTCTTCTTGTGGGGATCCTCTTCCGATCGAATAGAAACGGTTTACAGGACACATAGTTAGAACATGTCTTTTCTTACAAACAGGGCAGTTATCATTCATTTCACAATCTTTGAGTGTATGTCCTTTTTGGGTACATAAAAAGCATGCTCTCTTCTTCAATAAAATATCCTTTTTATCTTCCATTTGCATCCTTAGCGCCTTCCTGCAGTCTCTCCCTTTATGTCCGGATATTTCACAAAAAATACAAATATTTGAAATGGTTCCTTCCTTTGGGTCGTAGTACTTGAGCTGTACGCGTTCGTGTCGGAAAAGGGTCAAAACATCGAGAAGCTAGTTTCCCCTCTGTTCTGTATCAATTTGTTTCTTCAACTAGTGGAGTAATTATAGCGAACTCCATTATTGTTTCGTTGGTTCCGTAGTCTGAGGCACATAAGCGTCTTTTGCTTTTGTTCCTTTTCGCTTTTTCTGCTCGCCACACTGAAATACCACGAGAAGGGGGCTGGAGCCTAACTTCTATCGCAGCAATCAAGTGAATTTTGGACAAAAAAAGATCACTGAAAATGAATATTGAGTTTGAGGTACGTCCACCAACTCTTAAAACTCGGATAGAAAAATCTAATTTAATGATTTCATGGGTTGTTTCGTTGACAATTCTTCCTTCTTCCATAAAATCTAAATTTCTTTGTCGAATACGTAAATAAGTAAAGGTTAACAAGATAAAAAGTAATCGTAAACGATTTACAAAAAGCGCATTTCCACTTGCATTCATTTCCCATTTGTAAGATGATACTTCTGTTAAAATCGTAAAAATCCGGCCACAAATATGAAAGATAACGTTGCACATGTGCAATCCATTTTTGACGTGCTACTTCAATTTCAGTTTATAAGAAGAATTTCATTTAAATGCTCTCCTAAATAAGAAAGTTGGAACTGCGCATGCGCAAATCTAAATTTTGAAACTAACGTTAAATTTTCCTTCGTTCCAAGCGCCTATGTATCAGATTTCATTTAAATGCTTCCATAGATAAAAAAAGTTGACACTGCGTATACGCAAAACCAAATTTTGAAACTGGCGTTTGATTTTTCTGTATTCTAAGTGCATATGTATCAAATTTCATTCAAATTCTTTTAAAAATAAAAAAGTTTGCAATTCGGTTTATAAATGGTCGAGATGCGAAAAGGGCACTGTGAATATTGAATCGATTCGACTCAACTATTGGCTTTGCGTATTATATGGCTAAATCTATCCCCATATTGAATTTCATGCAATTCAGTTCATAACTAACGGAGATGTCAAAGCGATCGGACATTTTTAACCAAAGTTATCGGTCACACGGACAGATAGAGGGACAGACAGACAAAGGACCAGACGGACAGACCAACAGACAGACGACAGACAGCAATACAAAATTAAATAAACGGCAAAAGTGTAAAATTATGGAACATGTAAAAAACGGTTTGTTGGTTTTTTTACAATAACTTTTTTAGCAATAAACGCAGAAAAAATTCCTTCCTCGGTACAAGACTCGACACCATAACGAACCAAATAGCGAAAAAAGTAGAACAATAGCTCTTAAGATAAAGAACTAGTAGCGTCTCAACGAACGAGCGGACGGACGGACGAATGGACGAACGGACGGATGGACGGGCAAAGTGGCCACAATAGTGCATTTTTTTTTATTTTTGTGGAAATGCGCTAAAAAATATTAAGTATAATCATTATCCTCTTTATTAATAAACTTGATATTTTCAAAGTCACTAATTAATCTTATTTATATCAGTATGCGGTAAGTTGAAAGCCATTTCCGTGAGTCCCGTCCCGAAGCTTCGATGTGGAATATTGATCGGCATTGTTTTATTGGTAGAATTCTTTAAGTATTGCGGTGAATTCTGAAATTAAAAAATGGTTATGTGCACAATTTAAAACGCAATAAGTTTTATAAGCTTAAGATTTGGGTATCTTCAACTTGAGTCTACTAAAAGTCTAAAAACCGAAATGAAAAGTCTAAAAGGAAAATGTGTCAATAAGTAGTGGTAGTATATTTTCCTATATAGCCCATAAAGCTTATAAATTAACAAGGATTTCGAAAAAAGAATACGAAACAAATTGAAATTTTCTGACAACTTTCCGAATTAAAGATTAAAGTTTCACGGTTCTTGTTCCATAACCAAAGTGTCTTAAAACGTAAGAAAAACTCGGTAATAGTAATGGAACAAACAAGTTCCGTAACGAAACCTATGCCTGTTAGAAACTGAAAAGTTTGTCAGATTTAGTACTCTAGTAATCGATTTCAACCTAAGGGGGGTGCGAAAATATGTAAGATCAAATGCAGATGTAAAATCATCAACTTACCAGCAAGATTAGCTTTGTCCTTTCCATATTTCTTGATCACAGCATCAATGTCTGCTTCTGTGTAGCCTGCCGCAATTCCCTCACTTCTATCTACGAATCCATCCTTATTCGTATCGTATGTTTCAAACATTTGTTTAATTTGTTCGTCGCTAATTGCCCTTTGAACTAACACTGAATGATGTTCGCCTGGCCAGGGAAGAAATAAATGTAAATTACTAAGAAACAAGAGAAACAAACACCAACTTCAACTTTACACAAACCAAATAAGACATACATAGAGGTATTACCTTGAGGCTTGGCATGGATTACTGCACAAGCAATGATGAAGGAAATCAGAATAACAACTTTCATGTTTGGAAATAGTTTGTTCGCAAGTGGTGACACTACTGTTTTTCGCCATTCGGTCCTGTGCTTTTATATTTATTCCTTATCAGAGCACTTATCATTATCATAAGAGATTTGAATGGAGTAGTCCGTTTCGCCACCCTTCATACTTATTTATCTACTCGAGCATTTTATTTTCCATGCGAAAATATATTAAACAACAACCTATCAGATATAATAGTTTTGAAGGAAGATACTGTATCGATTGGGTAATGCAATCAAATGTGTATAAAAAAATAGATTTGAAAATATTTCAGAAATTTTAGGTTTTTCTCGCCAATGCCATGTATAGAAGTACCTTTAATTTGATATTTTATTTGGTCCACTAGTATCTATATAGTTTAGGAGATACGCCAAGTTAAAGTTTCCTTCAGGTCCGGAACCTGACCGGCCAAACCGGTTTTTAAGCCCTAAATTTTGGGGATTCGTTTTCTAAACTAAAATCAGATTAAATGGTAGGTTTATACAACTATTACCATTAGTTGACTAAGCTCAGGATGGTTTGAACTATGTAAAACAATCTCATATGGACATGCAATGGCTGATGGCTCGCATTGTCAGAGATAATAATTAATATTATTAATAGATTTACAATCTTATAAAACTTTTCGATGGGCCCTCCTGTAATTATACTTCTTAACACGATTGGACTATGCGAAAATAATTCAGGAGAAGTAGAAATTGATTTAAACCTGCAAAGTACTGACTCTAAAGGAGGAAAGATGTTCTCAGTGAATATCATTACGAAGGTTCCGCTTGATGATACCTACTGTAACTGTAAGAAAAAGTAAACCCCTAAAGCAGATCTAAAAAAGCGGCAGAGCACCTCAGCTAGCACCTCACTGTGACCCTACGGGGTCATTGGATTTAACCTATTTTTATAGGTTTGTTACTTGTGGCATAGGTTCAAGCGTATGGCAGACAGAGAAGCATGACCACAAATGGTCATTGGTCATTTATTAACTAATACTGTTACTAGCAGTAACTACAGACTTCCTCAGTCAATACCTTGCTGTCATATAAAGAATTTAATTCAGAATTAGAATTCTAAATTGTCGGTGCTTTCAGAAAAATTTAAAAAAAAATTACGGGTGAGGGTTGAAAAACGTCGGCAGAGAATAACGTTTTAAACTAAGTGTACCTACGTATTTAATAACCTTAATCTTGTTGTGTCTTTCTCTATATAATTTCGACATAAAATGTATATCAGATTGTAAGTGTTTCGGCTCCCGTTGGCAATCGTACTATTATTCGGGCTTAGATTTACTTATCTGGCAAGATTCCATCCTTTTAATGGATATAAAACTATAAGTTCCTTTTCGTTAAAAAAATAAGAAAACTCATAGTCCAGTAACTATATACATCAGACCCTGCGTCAAATCCGGTAGTTCTGATTTTTTGTGGGATTGCTTATAATGCTTATGTTGTTAACCCAATGTATAATTCAAGTTTTCGACCTCGAGCGGCGAACGCAACATAGTCAAATATACTAGAAACCGAGGAATTTTCGTTTTCTTTTCAGATTTTGACGATTTTAATCCTGAAGAACCAGTTTGTCGAAAATAACGGTTCAATAAGTTTTCAAAGCAGACCAAATTTGCTATAATTTAAGCCCACATCCGTTTGTATAGGTGTAATAGATTCCGAGATAATGCTTTTCAAAGATTGTCAATTTTTCAAACTTCATACAGTTCCAAGTTTGGGCTACTCAAAAGTACGCAACCTGGATGCACCGATAACAACTATCGCACGCCGTAGTCAACCTTCAACCTTCAAGATTGTGCCGTTAAGAATTCAAAAGCGATCTATTATACACCAATTAATCTGGATTAAGGTACGTTTCCTATGAAGCGTCTGACGCGTGCGCCTGACGCGGTGCGGCTGACGCAATCCACCGCCTCAATAGAAAGCAATGGAAGCATGTTCTAACCTACAGGCGGCGGCCGTCTCCAGTTGTATGCGTAAATGCCACACCGCGTGAGACGCTTCATAGGAAACGTACCTTTACAATGGAATTTATGGTTATCTGAGAATGGAAAATTCATTGTCAAATTTCCATTAAAAACCAACATTGATCAATTACGGAATTCTTACAATGTAGTTAAAACCAGATTTGTGAATTTCGAAAGAAAATTTATGCAAAACATTAATTTTAAAAATTTATATGTTCATTGTATTCAGGATTACGTTACCCAAAACCATTTATCTAAGAGTGAACTCAATGAACCTGATTCATTTTATCTTCCGCACCACGCAGTAGAAAAAGAATCCAGTGAAACTACCCGATTAAAGTTGTGTTTGACGGTTCGTGTCACTTAAATAAAGGTATACCGATCAATTCAATACAGTGCGTTGGTCCAACCATACAGGATGATTAATTTTCAATATTAGCTCGTTTTAGAACCCACCCTTACGTTCTCACAGCAGACGTAAAGCAAATGTATAGACAAATTCTCGTACACCCCATCATAGGAAATATCAAAAAATCATTTGGCGAGCAGTTTCTTCTTTACCACTTGGGCTGTATTACTTAAATGTTGTCACGTTTGGCACAGCTGCTGCGCCATATTTAGCTATTCTTTATTTGGCCAAATTCTCTTTAAAGAACTGGAAACGTAACGTACCCGAACTTAACCATCAAAATTGTAATCTAAAAACTAGCTCTACGGAAATAATCACCAAAATTTTAGGGATGTATTGGAACCCAAATAACGATACGATACGTTTACCTTTCTTTAAATAATCTTAAGAATAGAGTGACAAAACGGTCAACTTTAACTACAGTAGCTCAGTTATTCGACCCTTTAGGTCTTTTGGCGCCAATTATTTTCATAGCGAAACTAATATTACAAGAGTTGTGACGAAGTAAGTGTAATTTTCGGTATGTCGGTCTGTGGGTCCGTCTGTACTCTCATTGCGGCTAATCGGCTGAACCGATTGGAACCAAATTTGGTACACATATTCTTAGACATAAAGGACAAAATCGTACATTCTGCGGGTGGTATACATATGTGCTAGCCACAGCAATTTTTTTATATTGAACGCGCTTCCTTTGTCAGAGGGTATAGACTTGTCTTCATCGAAAACATGAATAAACCTCATAGTTTTATAGGTAACATTTGGGACTGACTTGCAGGATGATTTACCTAAAGTTTGGTTCGTTATTTTTTCTACCCTCGATACCCTTGCAACGGTAGCTCGCTTAATTATCAAGATAACAGCGAACTCCATTAGTGTTTCGTTGGTTCCCTAGTTTCAGGCACATAAGCGTCTTTTGCTTTGGTTCTTTTTCGCTTTTTATGCTCGGCACACTGAGGTACCACGAGAAGGGGGCTGGAGTCTAACTTCTATCGCAGCAATCAAGTGGATTTTGGACAAAAAGAGATCACTGAAAATGCGCTTAAAAAAACACATGGTTCATTTCAAAAACCATCTAAAATTAAAAGTTTGTCTGCGTTATTGCTCCAACAGTTACGGACCCTACGAAGCGTTCGATGGTACCGATAGGCCGACATTCCAGTAAATACAAAGATTAGTGATGAGCAACACCCGGAAATGTTCTGCAACAAAAAAACTAGGTTTTCGTGACTGTTCCAAACAAGCATGTTTACGGCGGGATGTGCGTTACTAACTTTCTGGCGAAGGTGATATTTTTTCCATAAATACAAGTTGCTTCGAGTTTGATGAATGAAAATAATATGTATTCACCGACTGTTATTCATCTATTCGTGCTGTTACTAGTGTGCGATGCAAAATCGGTAAAGAAGCTATTTAAAATTACCAAATTCCTTGCGACGTATTTTCAGGTGGGACCTCGCGGTGCCATAACTCTTGACACAGTTAAAACATGTGAGGACAATCCAGGAGGGGAGGTTGAGTTGGAATTAAATCTTTATAGTTTGGACTCTAAAGGTGCAAAGGCAATATCCTTAACAATCAATAGCACAATTCCACTTGATGACTCCTTAACTGTAAAAAATTCTACTTGGTCCGTGCTCCACTTACCGTTTGTTTAATTTTCAGTATATCATGGAAGTTCAAAGATGGGATGGGGGATGGAAATTAGAATATACGCACACCTCATTGCTATGTGCAGATATTACTCGTTTTGTGCCAAATATATGGAAACGGCTTGCGGAGGCCAGTGAGCCAAAGCTGCCTGAAAAATGTGGTGTAGAACCAGTAAGTCGAATTAATATTGTTTCAAAATATAGGCTGGATATTCGCAGGGTTACTACGTCGTAAAGGAATATACAGCATTGGCCATGGATTTTGCAGTACCTTACGTTTACTACGGAGAGATAATGTTGAAAGTATCGATCTTTCAAGGTCGTAAATTAATCTTATGCTTCTTTGTTAAGGGAAATTCGCAAATACCGCAGAAACCCTTTTAAATTTTGGAATTGTGAAATTCTGAATGTGATTATTCCTTGTTATTTCGCAGAGTATAGGTAAAAATAAACTCTAGCAGCTCTTTTACTTTGTACTGCATTAAAAAAACTATCATTATGAACTTTAAAAACTGGTACCTATTTCGTTTAAAAAAATAAAAGTCTTCATACATTCTTCCATTAATAAACCGATGCAACGAAATATCGAAGGATCATCAGTATTACAATCACTTAGTTAACAAAAATGCATCAAATTCATGTCTTGGTCATTGAGATAATGCTCTTAATCTTGCCAACGATATCAGTGCAAGAATAACGATTTTGACATGTTTTGATCAAAGTCCATGTGGTTGCCAAAAATAGATCAAATTCATGTTTTGGTCATTGAGATAATGTTCTTGGTCTTTTTTCCAACGAGATTGACCTAGACGACAGAGAAGAATATATTGAATTGTTTCTAAGAGTAATAGGGAATACTAGCGAAAGTCCGAACTCGATACATGACCTAGGGATTGATTTCTATTATATTGAGCCCGTAGATTTTCCTGTTCCCGATTCTCTCGAAGTCCTATAACATTTGTTCCTGTTGAACCAGCTTCCTGAAAATCGATAGCGCCCGTCCTTAATGTCCAAAGTATCCGTACACCAAATTTCAACCCAATCGGCCACTTTTAAAAAGAGGTAGAGCGCACACGGACGGACGGGCGGACGGACGGACGACAATACAAAACTATAAATGATCTGAGGATCAGATCCTTAATAAATTGTATTTCATATTTATATGTTTATAATACAAACTTAATATCGCTTCTTTATAGCAATCCACACCTTTTGAGTTTGTTTCGATCTCGCCCATCCCAACGTAATCAAAATGGGGCCTCCATTATCCACTACAGTATGGAAGAATGGAAATGTTGGTTCCACCCGGTAGTTTGGAAGATCTGCCATGCATATTTCAACATCTCTCGGGTTGACTTGAAAACATTTCAAACACGGCTCCATTGCTTTGATTTTTTCCATTGACAATCCAAAATGTCGCCCAAAATCCCTAGGACACCTTCTTGTCCGACATGCAGAAACCTGATGTGAAGATCCTTTATCAACATTTCAATAAATTGATGACCTTATGGCAATAACATCTAATGACGCTTATCCAAGTTGAATTTTGAGTTTGAGATACGTCCACCAACTCTTAAAACTCGGATAGAAAAATCTAATTTAATGATTTCATGGGTTGTTTCATTGACAATTCTTCCTTCTTCCGTAAAATCTAAATTTCTTTGTCGAATACGTCCATTAGGACCCCTATAGCACAACTCAACTCAAAAGTCGATAATCTTCCAAAACTGCGATCTTGCACTAGCTTCCTACAATTACCGTAAAATCTGATCATGTACCTATGCAACAGCAATTGTCTGGAACTTCTGGAGTATGTCAAAATGTTTTAAAATGTTTCAATGGTAACGAAGGGGAACTGTGAGAGGTACCTATCCATTTTTTTTCGCACCTCCATGTAGCTTTCATTATTATTCTCATTCGTAGAATCCTGATTTTCATAATTCAACAAATCACTCTCAGGATCATGCCACCACAAACAATCAGCAATATCAGCAAACATTCCTCTGAAGATAATATCAGCTGGGTTCATCTTTGTTGGGACATAATTCCAACCAGCAACATTAATCAGCCCTTGAATTTTTGCGACACGATTTCTAACAAACGCTTGCAACTTAACTGAATCCGTTTCCATCCAAGCCAGAACAACCTTTGAGTCACAAAAATGCAATCTTCTTAAAATCCAAATCTAGAGACTCCTTTACATATTCAACGGTTTCAGTTGAAAGCACGGCGCCTCTCAGTTCCAAACGAGGAATGGATTCAGGAGATAAAACGTTATTCAAAGACACACCAATTGAGGACGGCCGAGAAGCATTGAAGACCACACGCAATTTTGCGGTTGGATTGCTTGCCTTGTGTACACCATGATTAACTGATCATTGGTGACTTCACATATGATTTTCATTTTATCATGGGTCTCAGTTTGAAATGCTCATTGATGAATTCGCTGTGTTTCATTTCAGAATTCGTGGCTAATTTTCCAGACATTTGATTCATTCTTTTTACAGCAATATTTCGTGCCACAATCCTTCAACTTTGCATTGAACGGTAATTCCACAATGTATCTTCCAGTATCATCTCTTGAAAACGTTGCACAAAAATGCCTTTCACAAATTTCTTGCTCCGATTTTTTCATTTTGGAGCAGGTGGTTGGTAAAAGTAAAGGTTAACAAGTTAAAAAGTAATCGTAAACGATTTACAAAAAGCGCATTTCCACTTGCATTTATTTGCCATTTGTAAGATGCAACTTCTGTTAAAATCGTAAAAATCCGGCCACAAATATGAAAGATAACGTTGCACATGTGCAATCCATTTTTGACGTGCTACTTCAATTTCAGTTTATAAGAAATGCTTTCCTAAATAAGAAAGTTGGAACTGCGCATGCGCAAATCTAAATTTTGAAACTAACGTTAAATTTTCCTTCGTTCCAAGCGCCTATGTATCAGATTTCATTTAAATGCTTCCATAGATAAAAAAGTTGACACTGCGTATACGCAAAACCAAATTTTGAAACTGGCGTTTGATTTTTCTGTATTCTAAGTGCCTATGTATCAAATTTCATTCAAATTCTTTTAAAAATAAAAAAGTTTGCAATTCGGTTTATAAATGGTCGAGATGCGAAAAGGGCACTGTGAATATTGAATCGATTCGACTCAACTATTGGCTTTGCGTATTATATGGCTAAATCTATCCCCATATTGAATTTCATGCAATTCAGTTCATAACTAACGGAGATGTCAAAGCGATCGGACATTTTTAACCAAAGTTATCGTTCACACGGACAGATAGAGGGACAGACAGACAAAGGACCAGACGGACAGACCAACACACAGACGACAGACAGCAATACAAAATTAAATAAACGGCAAAAGTGTAAAATTATGGAACATGTAAAAAACGGTTTGTTGGTTTTTTTACAATAACTTTTTTAGCAATAAACGCAGAAAAAATTCCTTCCTCGGTGCAAGCCTCGACACCATAGCGAACCAAATAGCGAAAAAAGTAGTGGAACAATAGCTCTTAAGATAAAGAACTAGTAGCGTCTCAACGAACGAGCGGACGGACGGACGGACGGACGAACGGACGGATGGACGGACAAAGTGGCCACAATAGTGCATTTTTTTTTATTTTTGTGGAAATGCGCTAAAAAACATTAAGTATAATCATTATCCTCTTTATTAATAAACTTGATATTTTCAAAGTCACTAATTAATCTTATTTATATCAGTATGCGGTAAGTTGAAAGTCATTTCCGTGAGTCCCGTCCCGAAGCGTCGATGTGGAATATTGATCGGCATTGTTTTATTGGTAGAATTCTTTAACTATTGCGGTGAATTCTGAAATTAAAAAATGGTTATGTGCACAATTTAAAACGCAATAAGTTTTATAAGCTTAAGATTTGGGTATCTTCAACTTGACTCTACTAAAAGTCTAAAAACCAAAATGAAAAGTCTAAAAGGAAAATGTGTCAATAAGTAGTGATAGTATATTTTCCTATAGAGCCCATAAAGCTTATAAATTAACAAGGATTTCGAAAAAAGAATAAGAAACAAACTGAAATTTTCTGACAACTTTCCGAATTAAAGATTAAAGTTTCACAGTTCTTTTTCCATAACCAAAGTGTCTTAAAACGTAAGAAAAATTCGGTAATAGTAATGGAACAAACAAGTTCCGTAACGAAACCTATGCATGTTAGAAACTGAAAAGTTTGTCAGATTTAGTACTTTTTTCTTTAAGTAATCGATTTCAACCTAAGGGGGGTGCGAAAATATGTGAAGATCAAAATATGCAGATGTAAAATCATCAACTTACCAGCAAGATTAGCTTTGTCCTTTCCATATTTGTTGATCACAACATCAATGTCTGCTTCTGCGTGGCCTGCCGCAATTCCCTCACTTTTATCTACGAATCCATCCTTATTCGTATCGTATGTTTCAAACATTTGTTTAATTTGTTCGTCGCTAATTGTCCTTTGAACTAACACTGAATGATGTTCGCCTGGCCAGGGAAGAAATAAATGTAAATTACTAAGAAACAAGAGAAACAAACACCAACTTCAACTTTACACAAACCAAATAAGACATACTTAAGCAACTATAGAGGTATTACCTTGAGGCTTGGCATGGATTACTGCACAAGCAATGATGAAGGAAATCAGAATAACAACTTTCATGTTTGGAAATAGTTTGTTCGCAAGTGGTGACACTACTGTTTTTCGCCATTCGGTCCTGTGCTTTTATATTTATTCTTTATCAGAGCACTTATCATTATCATAAGAGATTTGAATGGAGTAGTTCGTTTCGCCACCCTTCATACTTATTTATCTACTCGAGCATTTTATTTTCCATGCGAAAATATATTAAACAACAACCTATCAGATATAATAGCTTTGAAGGAAGATACTTTATCGATTGGGTAATGCAATCAAATATGTATAAAAAAATAGATTTGAAAATATTTCAGAAATTTTTAGGTTTTTCTCGCCATGTATAGAAGTACCTTTAATTTGATATTTTATTTGGTCCACTAGCATCTATTTAGTTTAGGAGATACGCCAAGTTAAAGTTTCCTTCAGGTCCGGAACCTGACCAGTCAGACCGGTTTTTAGGCCCTAAATTTTGGGGATTCGTTTTAAAAACTAAAATCAGATTAAATGGTGGGTGGGGTCTTTTAGTAGTGACAAAGTGCTGTTAAGTTTTTACTATGCGCATTTCTACAGCAAAGTTAAATATGGTATTCTATTTTGGGGGAGATCTAACTTAACTCATAGGATTTTCCTAATTCAAAAGCAAATAGTGAGATCTATAGTGGGAGTAAAGAAGAGAACATCATGCAGAAATATATTTAGACAACTTGGACTATTAACTGTTCCTGCTATATATATTCTAGAAATTCTGATGTTTGTAAAAGAAAATCCAAAGGAGTTTTCTGTTAATAACTATAATCACAGTTACAATACACGGCGTGGTAAGGATTTCTGCATTCCTGCGCATAGACTAAGTATGTCAGAAAATAATCCGAGATATATGGGCTCATTACTTTTTAACAAACTCCCAGAACGTCTGAAGTCTGAAACCCGACATAAACAATTTAAGTTTCAGGTAATGCATTTTTTATTGTCCCAGTGTTACTATTCAGTGGAAGAGTATTTGTCAGATTCGTGTACTTAATTACATTTGGTATCGTTAGTAATACAATTATGCATGTTATATTTTATTTAAATTATTTAGTGATATTTTACACAACCTCTGTCATTGACTTGATCAATATCATGTTACATGGTCAAATGGTCTAATAAACATTATTATTATTATTATTATTGTTTATACAACTATTACCATTAGTTGACTAAGCTCAGGAGGGTTTGAACTATGTAAAACAATCTCATATGCAATGGCTCACATTGTCAGAGATAATAAATGAATATTATTACCTATTTATAGATTTACAATTATCAAACTTTTAGATGGTCCCTCTGGTAATTATACTTTTTAACACGATTGGACTATGCGGAAATAATTCAGGAGGAGAAGTAGAAATTGATTTAAACCTGCAAAGTACTGACTCTAAAGGAGGAAAGATGTTCTCAATGAATATCATTAGTGAATTCATTACGAAGGTTCCGCTTGATGATACCTACTGTAACTGTAAAAAAAATAAACCCCTAAAACAGATCTAAAAAAGCGGCAGATTGATAACGTGTAAACAGTAAACACCTCGATTTGGAACTCGTTATATCCTTGTTTTCACTTACTATTGGAAAGCTAAAATCGATTAATCGGTAAGCAACGAACCTCAAACTTCTTCCCTGGAAGAGATTTTGGTCGCTGTAAAAACAAATTCTTACAGGAAAGGTTTCAAAACTCATAAATTCTCTGCTGAACTTACACGTGTTATCGGCAATAAAACAAAAATAAAAACACATCGCTCCTCGTTTCCTAGAGCAAATATGTAAATTCCGCAACTACAATTTTTAGTAACGAAGCGGCCAGCTTAAAACGCTTGTAGATACCGGGTGTTCAGCAATGCTGGTCGATTTCACAAATATACGCTGTGGTCATAAATTCGGGTATGAACTTCAAGGCGGAAAACAGGTGCTTCGTGACAGTATTGTTAGAAATATAAAAAAACTCCTCTTATATTAAAAAGAGATACATCCATTAGGAAACCCTGCAGGAGTATTCTTAGAAATCATGCTTTTAAATAAACATATCTATTAAACCATCTGCGCTATTTACATATCGAATCTCGCCAGTAGCGAAAGCTCCTCGTACTAGCAATTTCCCAAAATAGAAAAAGCTTTTCCTGAAACTACGAATAATTTCTGTTTTAGATTGTTTGTTTCCGTGCAAAGTAACTTTGGTTTTCTAAGCCCTAAATTGTTGACATTCGCTTTAAAAATTAAAATTAGATTATCCAATAAGCACAAAGATTAGTCATGTGTAACGTGCTAATGTTATACACACAGCCGGAAGTGTTAGAGGTACTATTCGTGAGTGCTTTTTGAAATGTACCTATTTGAAAATAGCATGTTTTCGGCAGGATGTGCGTTGTTAACAATTTCGCGAAGGTGATACCTTTTCCATAAATACTGGATAATTAGAGTCTGATTAATGAAAATATGTATTCGCTTACTGCAATTCATCTACTCTCGCTGCTTTTACTGTGCGATTCACAAATGGTAAAACAATAGATTTTTGCAATCATCAAATTATTGTGACGAATTTTTAGATGGGTCCTCCAGGAACTATGTTGTTTGACGCAATTGGACCATGTGAAAATAATCCGGGAGGGGATGTAGAATTTGATTTAAACCTCCAAAGTACTGACTCTAAAGGGGGAAAGATATTATCAATGAATGTCAGTACGAAAGTTCCGCTTGATGATACTGTAACTGTAAGGATAAAGTGGTGCCATCCGCTAAATACTGGTGCCTATTTTCAGTATCTTGCCAATGTTCTAAAATGGGAAGATAATGGCTGGAAATATGCAAATAAACGCTCCGGAAATCTTTGCCCCGACCTCATGAGGTTCGCGTCCAAAATATGGAAGTTGTTGCAAGAGCACTCTGTTCCAAAAATACCTGATGAATGTTCCCTCGAACCTGTAAGTTGATTTTATTGTTCAGGTGCATATTGGTTTTGTCGTAGGGCGATTATAGGGTAGAGAACGTTACAGCGGCGACATCAGATTTAGATATACCTGTAACGTATTATGGAAAGACCAGATTGGATGTATCAATTTATCAAGGTAGCACACTATTGGCATGCGTCGTTTTTGACGGAGTTTCACAGAAACCTGCAAGACCGTTTTAAACTTGTTTTTATAATATTACATAATTTAATGTAAATTGCAGCCAATCACTGTAGGGTTTTAACTCTATTTTCAGGAAAATGTGCTGCAGACTTAAATTTAGCGTTATGATGAAGGAATAACGATTTCCGAAAGCTTGATGAGACTTTTCCAAATGGTTTTATTCTTTCTTGGACACCTTTGTATCCGCAACATTTGTTTGTTTATTTGTTTAACGGAAATACCATTTTTACAAAAAATATAAAACATAATATCATATAGCAAAATGTAATAACAAAACGCAGCATCAAAATTGTTGAAAAGCTTAACAATATTTCAAATAAAAATCAAGTGCATTTTAATTGATAAAAAGAATCACATATTTTATTGATTGGTACTAACGAAATTATTTCCTCAGTCAATATCTTCCTTTCATATACAGAATTAAATTTAGATTAATTCATTAATGTTTGATATCAGATCACAAGTTTTTTCGGCGTTTGTTGGTAGCCTTTCTTACATTTTCTTCTCTAGCAAGATGTCTCATCAAACAACATTTAATCCCGCCTAGAAATGAATAAAGGGAATCAACAAGTAAAGATACTTGTGTTTCATTGATACGAAACCATTTTGTAGGTGGTAGTGAATGAGAAAGGATATTAGGAATCCTTACGGGGAGATTTTAGGGATGCGTTCGGTCTTGGGCAACGAGATAGTTAATACACGGTCCAAGTTATTTCGAGCACTATACGCGAGATTAGTTCGGGTTTTGGGTTACCCGGGCAAACAGTACTAGGTAAGAAAAGAGAGTAAAGTCGTTTTTAGAAAACTTAGAAAACTACGGGCATAAAAAAGGACCCAGTGGTGATTACGGGCATTTTGATTTTTATTGGAACGTAACATTTAACAACGCAAGTCCGTTAGCTACAGTTAAAATAGAGAAAAAAAACTTTGAAGTGGATTAATTCTAACGTATCGGTTTAATCGACGCGGAAAAAATACAGATTATCCCGAAATTAGGAGCAAATAATAAACAGTTAACGTCAAGTAAAACGCGTTCCATAGGGAGATTAAAACAGGCGTACGCGACAAGGGCAAACTAATTCAGCGTTCCAATATATTTTCGTTACCATCAATAGCTATTGTTAAAAAAATCAGTGTAGTTGTTTAATGTCCATGAAACCAAAGACGGGATTGGACTCTCCGTAGTCGTAAAAGGTGCAAAATTGTATAGTGAAGATTTCCCTTGTTTGGGATAATAAAAAAATGTTTCGAAATTTTATTTGAAATTTTTTTTAGAGTTTTCAGGAATCCTCTTAGGAGGACCTATGGGAATTCGGAACACTAGTAATCACCCACTCACAGCAGTCAGCCCATAAAATTGCGCTAGAAATGTTTTAGGAGTCTTCATAGAAAATCTTGGGATTACCGAAACCCGAGAAGCCCCTTTACAAATTCTTGTGGAAAGAGAGAAAAGTGTTCTTGGAAAACTTTATATATAAGGACATTTTCATCAAAGATAAAGAAAATCCTAAATAACTTCTTAGAAATAACGTTTTTAGCCATTTAAATTAACATTAATTTTTAAATGGCTATGTAATTGAGATTTTAGGTAAAACGTTGGTGCTTATTGCAATGTACAGACCCCCATCTACCTCATCGAAACTGTTTCTAACCGAATTTAACAAATACCTAAATGATATTAAACAAAACGCGGATTGTTACTTTCTGGTAGGGGACTTGAACATAGATGTCTTGAGCGATGAAATTAATGCTTTAAACTACTTGGACATAATGAGTGAACATAATTATACGTCAACCATCAATATACCCACTAGAAAATCTAAGATAACAAGTTCATGTCTTTACCATGTGGGAATTCTTTATATTTAACACTCCCAACGCTAAATAACGATTTAAAACTGCTAATCAACTTTTATTTTAATAACATTGACAACTTTCATTTCTCATCGATTTTCATCTCCTATTATTTCGTCGTCCTAGAAACAAGGATCATTAGTATCGGACTACCTGGTCGCCACAATACTCTCCCCCAGACGATGCCGAGGGAAACGAATTACTCGACCAAACCGGGATCGTCGAATTTCTTCAGGCTCCGTGCCTGGTGGCGGCAAGTCAAAAGTCACCCTGCGCTGGCTCTTAAGTAAAATTCTCGAATTCTGCTCGCTTGAATTTTCGTTCTTGGCCGCCACCGAAGGTGTCTGTTTTTTACCAAAATATAACTCGGGCCAAGACGCCAAAATAAAAGCCGGTTTGATTCTGTCCACCGAGACAGCTTTTGTGTTCCCTTTCACTAACAGATTGAACATCTTGGGGCCACGTTTAACAACCTCATATGGCCCAAGGTAAGGCGGTTGCAGTGAACGACGCACATGATCATCTCGAATAAATGCATGCGTACATTCGTCCAATCCCTTGATAAAAAAAGGTCGTTGCCTAGAATGGTCTGCCGCTGCAACAGGTCGAATCTCGTTCATAATACTAGTAAGCTCGTCGCTGAACTGCGTAGCTATCACGTTTGAAGGAGTTTGTTTATCTAAAAATCTCCGGGCAAACGCAAAGTTGTACCGAAAACCATTTCAGCTGACGAGGCTCCGAGGTCTTCCTTGAAAGTGCTTCTCAATCCGAGAAGAACCAAGGGAAGTCGATGAGACCAGTCCTTTGTTTCGAAGCACATAAGAGCTGCTTTCATCTGTCGATGGAAACGCTCGACAAGGCCATTTGCCTGAGGATGATAGGCAGTTGTCTTAATATGATCTACCCCCAGACGAATACTCAACTCCCTGAACAGAGTGCTTTCAAATTGGCGACCACGGTCCGTGGTCACTCGATGTGGAACTCCAAAGTTTGAAATCCAGCTCGTGATGAATATACGTGCCACAGTTTCAGCTCGAATATCCGCAATAGGAACTGCAATCGGGCATCGAGTAAAGCGATCGACGGCTGTAAAAATATACTGCATTCCATCCGACGGCGGTAGCGGTCCTACAATATCAATGTGTACATGTTGAAAACGCTCAGATGGAAGGTCAAATTTGTCTAAGATTGCTCTGTTGTGTTTGTGCACTTTAGTTTGCTGGCATGGTATACAATGCTTAACAAAGTTGGCTATATCCTTCCGCATAGAAGGCCAGAAGAATCGCTGACGGATCAATTTCTGCGTACCTCGAATTCCGGGATGGCTGATGCCGTGCATTTTATTGAAGCATGATTTCCGTAACGAATTTGTTACGAAAGGCCGCATTTTGCCAGTGGACACTTCACAGATCAATTCAAGGCTCGAATCGAAGTGTTTCAATCGAAGCAGTTTGAAACTGGTGTTCTCGACAGAGAGCAATTGTTGTAATTCAAGATCCACTATTTGATCGGCGGCGTGCGCGGAAAAGTCGAGTGATGATATTGTAGCGATACGTGAAAGTAAGTCAGCGACCAAGTTGTCTTTTCCCGAGATATGTCTGAAGTCCGTTGTTCTCTCGGAGATCTGCGCCACCCGACGCCGTCTCGTCGGATCGGTGTGATGACTCGTCTTTCCAAACGCACCAAGTAGTGGTTTGTGGTCAGTAAGGACAGTGAATTGTTGGCCCTCCAAATAATGATCGAAATGACGGATAGCCCTCCAAATTGCCAATAGTTCCTTGTCGTAAGTGTCATATCGATATTCGGATGGTTCATGCTTTTTTGAGTAAAACGCAAGAGGTTCGATGACGCCGTCAACTACCTGGTGTAGAACAGCTCCAATTGCAGCATCGCTTGCATCCGTTTCAAGAACAAGGTGTGCATTTTCCTTCGGGTGTGCTAACATTGTTGACTCGGCGAGGAGTCTTTTCGACTCTTCGAACGCCGCACGGGTGAGTTGCGTCCAAAGAATTTTTGTTTTATCATTTTTTACGTTGCCAACGATGAGGTTGTTAAGCGCTTCTTGGCAGTGAGCTGCACCAGGAATAAAACGCCTGTAGAAGTTGATTGCGCCAAGAAAACGGCGGAGTTCCTTCACAACAGTGGGCAATGGGATATTGTTGATCGCTTGGACCTTATCCGGAAGGGGTTTGATTCCACTGCCGGTGACGATGTGGCCCAAAAATTGAACAGATGATGGTCCAAAACGGCACTTTGCCAGATTAATCCTCAACCCTGCCGATTGAAGACGCGTTAACACCAATCGCAAATGTTCGAGATGCTCTTCGAGCGATGACGACGCCACTAAGATATCATCAATATAAGCAAACGAAAAATTGAAATCCGCCAACAGTCCATTTATCATACGTTGGAACGTCTGGCTTGTATTGCGTAACCCAAATGTTATAACTGGGAATTCATATAACCCAAATGGGGTTACGATTGCGGTTTTTGGAATATCCTCAGGCTTTATAGGTATTTGATTGTAAGCACGCTCCAGATCCAACGTCGTAAAGTGTTTTTTTTTTCCGCGAAGCATCCATTGCACGTCGTGAAGATGGGGAATAGGATACGCATCTGGAATCGTTGCCGCGTTCAACCTGCGGTAATCACCACAGGGTCGCCAATTACCATCCTTTTTTCGTACGAGATGTAATGGTGAGGCCCACGGTGAATTAGACGGGCGACAAATGCCCCGTTTAACCATAGATGCAAATTCTTTTTTCGCAGCATCTAATTTCTCGCCACTCAATCGACGCGGCTTGCAGCTGATAAACGGGCCCGTGGTTTCGATATGATGGATAACCATTGTAGTAACCATTGGAGGCTTGATCGAGTCGTCAAACTTCTTTGGTTCGGTAAGTTCATCTATCTGTCCGTGTGAACGATAACTTTGTTTAGAAATGTTCGATCGCTTTTACATCTCCGTTAGTTATGAACTGAATTGCATGAAATTCAATATGGGCATAGCTTTAGCCATATAATACGCAATGCCAAAAGTTGAATCGAATCGATTCAAAATTCACAGTGCCCTTTTCGCATCTCGACCATTTATAAACCGAATTGCAAACTTTTTTACTTATAAAAGTATTTGAATGAAATTTGATACATAGGCACTTGGAATAAAGGAAAATCAAACGCCAATTTCAAAATTTGGTTTTGCGCATGCGCAGTGCCAACTTTTTTATTTATGGAAAGAACTTTTAAACGAAATTTGATACATAACTGAAATTGAAGTAGCACGTCAAAAATGGATTGCCCATGTGCAACGCTATCTTTCATATTTGTGGCCGGATTTTTACGATTTTAATAGAAGTTGCATCTTACAATAATGGGAAATGAATGCAAGTGGAAATGCGCTTTATGTAAATCGTTTACGATTACTTTTTAACTTGTTGTTTCTTACAAGGGATTTTTACTGTAGCGCTATGTACTTTAATTTTAGCTGTTAACGAATCTATGAAGCGGTTAAAGCAATTATTAGCATCATTTTTGTCGTCGAGAGGTAACCACGAATCAAGTTAAAAAGTAATCGTAAACGATTTACATAAAGCGCATTTCCACTTGCATTCATTTCCCATTTGTAAGATGCAACTTCTGTTAAAATCGTAGAAATCCGGCCACAAATATGAAAGATAGCATTGCACATGGGCAATCCATTGTTGACGTGCTACTTCAATTTCAGTTTATGAGAAGAATTTCATTTCAATGCTTTTCTAAATAAGAAAGTTGGAACTGCGCATGCGCAAACCTCAATTTTAAAACTAATGTTAGATTTTCCTTTCTTCCAAGCGCCTAAGTATCAAATTTAGTCTCATGCAGTCTTATCTTGCAAACAGACGACAGATTGTCAAAATAGGTATCAGTTTGAGTAATAGAGAGGTAGTGCAATATGGGGTTCCTCAGGGAACTGTACTGGGACCAATTCTTTTTGTAATATCTATATTAATAACATACTTGACATTCACACTAGTGGTAAAGTATTTAGTTTTGCAGATGATACAGTTGTGTTGTACAATCACTCTTCTTGGACTTATCTTGAAAACTGCGTAAAACATGATTTTAATAAAATTATCGATAGTTTTCATCATAAATTATGACAAAACTGTGATAATCCCATTTTCCTGCAATGCCAAATCGTTACCAAAATTTGACAGCTTTCAAATTAATAATCATGGCAGTATGATAAACATTCGGGTTGCGACTAGCACCACGTACTTGGGAATAGCAGTAGACTCGAACTTAAAGTGGAATAGCCATGTTAATCACGTGTTGAACAATTTACGGCCGTTACTATATAAATTTAAATACTTATCCAGTTTTTTAAACGAACTGGAAATGAAAACAATTTATTATGGATTGGTTCAGTCGCGAATCTCGTACGGAACTCTCGTCTGGGGTAGCGCTTCCCAAACGTTACTCTACAAGTTAGAAGTTTTACAAAAAAGGATTCTTAAAATAATCTATAAAAAGGGTCGCTTGTATTCTTTTAGTTTGTTATACAAAGAGGCGGGTGTATACGACATCAAACAACTTTTTTTCTATAAAATAGTAGTGAAACAATTCCGTGAAAAACACTTAGCAAACTTTATCTGCCATCCGCATTTCACTAGATTAAGTCACCGGAGTAATATAGTAACATGCGCAGCCAGAAAAAGAATTGGTCAAAGATCTATTTCTTATTTATCATCTAGATTTTTTAACATTTTTCCTGAGGATATAAAAAGAAAAAACTTCCCTCAATAGTTTCAAAAATAGTGTAAAAAAATTTATTTTAAACAGGAAAAAATTTTATAAGCGTTGTGATTGATAAACATATATAGGGTAATGGTTGAGCATCAATCAGTCATTATTTTCGGTGTAACCATGCTTGAACCCCCACGCTTTTGAGGGTACTATTATTTTATATATATTGCCTTCTTCTTTTACAATGTTCTTGTAACCGTATACACTTATATATATAACCAAAATTATAATAAATAAATGAATCTATTAAGCCATTTCTGCTGTTATTAAGTTTTCATACCGGAACTCCAGCCAGCAGCGAAAGCCCCCCTTACCAGCAATTTTCCACTTACACCCTTTATCCTCCACCAAAGAAAAGAGCAAAGCATGGCAATGTTGCTGAAATTATGAATAATTTTTTGTTGAAAATATTTTGGCACTTGTGTCTGATTTTTTGGGCTCTAACTTTTATTTTGGGATTCACTGTAAAAATTAAAATTAGACTAAACACAAAGATTAATTATGTGTAACGTGATTACGTGTTAATCAACCGGAAGTGTTGATGGTGCTATTCGTGAGTGGTTTACGAAATGTACGTGTTAGAAAATAGCATGTCTTCGACGGGAAGAGCGTTGTTAACAATCTCGCGAAGGTGATACCCTTTCTATAAATATTGGATAGTTAGGGCCTAATTAATGAAAATATGTATTCGCTTACTGCCATTCATCTACTCTCGCTGCTTTTACTGTGCGATTCACAAATGGTAAAACAATAGATTTGCAATCATCAAATTATTGTGACGAATTTTTAGATGGGTCCTCCAGGAACGATAATTTTGGACGCAATGGGACCATGTGAAAATAATCCGGGAGGGGATGTAGAATTTAATTTAAACCTGCAAACTATTGACTCTAAAGGGGGAAAATTGTTGTCAGTGAATGTCAGTACGAAGGTTCCCATTGATGATACCGTAACTGTAAGAAACAATAAAGTAGAGCCATGCGCTAAATACTGGTGCTAACTTTCAGTATTTTGCCAATCTTCTAAAATGGGATGATAATGGCTGGACAACCGTAACGACACACTCCGCAAACTTTTGCGCAGACGTTATGAAGTTCGCGCCAAGAGTATGGAAGTTGGTGAAAGAGCACTCTGTTCCAGAAATACCTGCTAGATGTTCCCTCGAACCTGTAAGTTGATTTGTTTTTTTTCGGTGCATACTGTTTTTGTCGTAGGGCGATTATAAGGTAGACAACTTAAGAGCGGCGACTTCAGATTTCAATCTACCTGTAATGCCTTATGGAAAGGTGAAAATAGATATATCACTCTCTCGAGGTGGCAAACTATTGGCATGCTTCTATTTTGATGGAGTTTCACAGAAACCTACAAGACATTTTTAAACTGGTTTTTATAATTTTACAGAAGTTAATGTAAATTGCAGGGAAAACTGTAGGTTTTTAACTTTTATTTTCACGAAAAAGTTCAGCGTTATGATAAAGGTATATCAATTTCCGAAAGCTTGATGACACTTTTACAAATAGTTTTATTCTTTCTCATCTACTTTTACATCACCAGTACTGTTACTAACAGTAACTACTTTCTCAGTTAATATCCTTCTTTCATATACAGAATTTAATTTAGAATAAAATATTAATGTTTAATGTAAGTTTATCGATGTAGAGCTTCATTATGTATATTAAAATGCAGGTAGCAAAGATTTTTATAATTACTTAGATTTTCTTAGGTTATCGATTCATAATTTTATTTTTTTAGATTTGCATACAAATTTTGAATATTTAGAAGATGCAGATAAAACAGCAGTACAAGTACAACAAATTCAGGAGTAAAGCCACACAAAACACAGATTAAATCAAAAACCCATAAAAGCACCTGCTAAATCTGCATCTACATCTCCGTTTAAAATTAAACATTTCCCAAAAGCGAGACCTTCTGGTTCCTGTATAATCACAACTTCAAAAATGAAATTATTTACAATAGAAGAACATCAGTCTGAAAGTGATAATTCTTTATGTACTCCTCAGCTGTTCGATACTGATATTTCTTTATCTACTTATACAGAAACTTCACCATCAAAAAGCTCTCTTCGGAAAGAATCTACTTCTGACTGTAGGGAATTAAACGAAGAAACAAAAACACCAAAATGCAAAGTACACTGAAGAGAATTAGGAAGAAATCTCGATTTTACATCAATATTACTTGACATTTTCGATGAGCTCCACCTCCTGATACTAGGACTTGTGCTCTCCAGGGAGAAATGCTTGGTTGTATTACACCGTCTTCTAGTAATTTTGAGATATTATACTAGTAAAATGGTCCAGTAATTCCTTGGAAAGCGGACTTTCGGATAATAAATGCAGCAAATGTGCCAATAGACAATGCTGAATAATACGATCTAAAACACTGATCCTTTGCGTAGGTATATATTTCTCAGCTCAGTTGGGTAAGAATTTGAATTAGTACTACTGTAGTTCATACCTACTATAGTAAAATGTAGTGATTTACATAAGTTGCATTAATTAACTTCGTTGAAACATCAATACACCTACCAACACATACGCAATATTGGGTTCTAAACGCAATGTACCAGTCGGTTCATTGCTGCAATTTCCAATCAGCTTTGTGCTTTACAATTAATTTAGGCATCGTTTGAAGAGGTCTCACATGAGTGACATTCGTAATGAGATTATTGAACAATCTGTACGTGATTCATTCCTATATGTGCTGGGTTAACCGCGCCTTCCATATACAGAAATCTAATTTATTACGCATTTTACGGCCCGCTAAAATTTGACGTTTAAACAAATTATTCGTTAAGCGAATGAAGCTCATGCCAAATTAGATTAATTAGCTTCTAAGAGCGTCATTTGGATGTGCATTGGGTTGGAGGATAACACAGCCGGAAATGCACGTACATATTGAATGTAAAATTATATAACCTACACTTTCGTGATTGATTTAATTGCACTAAAATATCTACGCTTTAGATGTTTACACAAAATTCAAGGTGAGTGAAATGAACTTTTAGCGATCGATTTGTCTGCTGTGTGTAATAGTATCCACTACACCCACAAATGTCCACATGTCCAGCTAGCAAATTGAAAGTAATAGTATTTTACATTATTAGCCAGGTAAGTGAGTTTTTACTGGCGATAGGAGAAGTTGACTGGCGAGCCGTCAGGCGAGCCTGTCATCTCCTAGAGCCAGTAAAAACTATTACCTGGCGTATAATGTACAATATTTTATTTGTTACTCATTTGTAAACGTAAATAATTAGTTCTTAAATTGATCTTGAAGAAATGTCTAAAATATCATGTTATCCATGTAACAGAGACTTCGCATTAATTCTGGCCAATGAAATTACTAGATTACTAACTTGTAAAATTTTTACAGGTCTGCTGTCAGTTTTACAAGTCAGTAGCGTTTAAACATGACGTTTACCCGTTTGCGTTTTGTCTTGTTAATCAACGTTTACAACTGAGTAACAAATAAAAATTTTTATAATCTCTCCTCGTACACTTCCGCTATCTGCTACAAAGAGAAATCCCCAATAAAGACTTAAATTAATCATTTGGGAGACTCAGTGGCCTCGATCAACTCCCGAAAATTCCAAAGAATTAACTATACACATTTTCACACCTGAAACAATTCTTGGATTTCATGGGGAAGGTACATATATTTATTAAATTTGGAAGAAATTCTTGGACACGAGAACAACAATCTGGCATGAAAACGCTATCCGGATCGCACAAAGGATACGAATAAACACAATTAATTGATAATGACAAAAATTTATTCCAAAACACATGAAGTGAAAAATTCAAAACAAAATCCTTGAAAGAAAGAAAAGTTTACAACTAAGCTTACAAGGCTTGTTTGGGCATATACCCCGCAAGCAGGCGTTCGACAAATAAAATAAGAACACCTAAACATTACTAGATTTTTTTCTCTTTTAATAATCCAAGTAATCTGGTCAAAGGTTTGTGATAACAAGGCGCACACTCAAACGCTGACAGCTTCTGAACTTCAGTTTTCTTTAACACTTGATAACAAACAACATTAACTTGATGAATAAAATGACGCATTTCCGGTGGCTGTTCAGACGGTACAAGAATAACTTTAAATAACCTTAACAGAAGGTCTTCTTGCTTTTTCAACGTGACAGACTTTCTATAAAACAGACAAACCGTTTTAAACTTCTCACACAACTTTAGTCAGCTTGCTTCTGCATACAATTATTGAACTACGTCGTCAACTAATTAAATTGGGCGGATAGCCCGAATATCAAATGGCGTAAAGGAACGTACACGATTTCCTACAGCCGCGAACCAGCTTTTTTAGTTGACTCCTGATATTTAACATGTATTTCGGGTGGAATATAATGGTAGCTAGCGCCAGCTAGCGCCACAAATTTTAGAGCTAGCGCCACCCCCCAATAGGGTGGGGGGCAATTTTTCCTAGCACCATTTTGTCTTTTCGGGTAACATTTTTACGTTTGGTGCGCTGCTGACCTAGCGCCGGCTAGCGCCACTAATTTTAGAGCTAGTTTTATAATTTTGCGGTGTCTGTTCGTCTGTCCGTTAGCACGATATCTCGATAACGAATTGACCGATTACGATGAAATGGATGGATTCTTTATCAAATTTGTAGATCGGAGTTGGTGAATTGGCAATATAGCCCAAAAAATAAGGAAGGTCCGTTTGATGTCTCTGTGAGTTATGAACCGAATTGTATGAAATTCAATATGCGTATAGCTTTAGCCATATAAAACGCAATTCCAAAAGTTGAGCCTAATCGATCAACATTCACAGTGCCCTTTTCGCATCTCGACCATTTACAAACCGGATTGAAAACTTTCTTATTTATGGAAGCATTTAAAAGAAATTTGATACATAGCAACTTGGAATAAAAGCAAATTTAACGCCAGTTTCAAAATTTGGTTTTGTGCATGATGTGCGGTGCCAATTTTCTTATTTATGGAAGCAATTAAATGAAATTTCATACATATACACTTTAAATAAAAGCAAAACTAACACCAAGTTCAAAATTTGGTTTTGCACATGCTGTAGCCATGCTGTAGCCAGGAGCGTTTTCTATATTTATTTACACGTCGATGCGAAAAGGGCACTGTGACTGTTGATAGATTAGGCTCAACTTTTGGAATTGCGTGTTATATCTAAAGCTATACGCATATTGAATTTCATGCAATTCGGTTCAAAACTCACGCAGATGTCAAAAGGGCCTTCCTTATTTTTTGCGCTATATTGCCAATTCACGAACTTCGATCTACAAATTTGATAAAGAATCCAACTACAACATTTCATCGTAATCGATCCATTCGTTATCGGGATATTGTGGTAACGGACAGACGGACAGACACCGCATCTGGGATGGTCAAACTCTTTACCATTTTTAAACCCGAATGTGCAAATCTGTCCCTCTTAGGATCGGAAATAATAAACAAATTATTTTAATTTGAAATCCTTTACTTTTTGGATTGATTGTTCTGTTTAAAGTACAAAAGTTCCAATAAAAATACTAAAATTTGTATGTAAAGTAGCAAGATTGTAAATATGAACATCCCTTCATTTCAAAGTAAACAGACGGTGAGGTATGCAGGTACAAACTTACTTAAATCCTTTATGAATGCGCAAAAGTTGTAAATTATTTGTCACATCAAGGGTTTACAGGCGCGTCAATTGTGTAAAGTTTGGTATATCTGTATTGTTAAAAACAACACCTTTAGATAGTAGTCGACGCGACGTACATAGGTATATAATTTATCGGGAGCAAATATACAAGAGCTTGATTTTTAATCGGATAATTTTATTCCTACACGAAAGTTTTGTTGCCACCGAAAAAACTCGAGACCAAAAGTGTGATAAAATCGCGACAGTTTTAGCTGGAGCGATTTTATTAATATTATCCTTTTCGAGAGTTTTTTCCAGGAGGCAACAAAATTTGAATGAATTAAAAATAAAATTATCCTGACTTAAAACCAAGATCGAGTGTATTTTAGAGAGATTGATAAAAGACAGTAAATTTTACAACCACTACATATTTTACGCATTCCTACACGCATTTTTATCGCTGTTAAAAAGCTACGTGGCGTTTAATCAGATAAAAAATCATCTGATTGGTTAGAATTTGAAACAATCACCAAGCTGATTGGTCGTATATTAATTAAGTGTATTAATCATATAAAATACATATGCCTTATGGTTATTATTTGCACATTACACATAAGTATATAAGAATCTGCTTCTTTGTTTTTTAGCAGAATTAACAAATAAATATGCTGATTGATGCGAATACTTTCAAAGGTATTCAAATACTTTCAACAATATTCTAATACTACCAAAGATATTCGAATACTATAAAAAGTATTCGAATACTTGTCACTCAAATACATTAAAAATTTAAAACAGTACTAGATAAAAGTCTTAATAATACTTAAAAAATGTCAAGTTATACTTTGTATAGAGGCAACATGGAAGAACAGCGTTTTATGCACTGAATGTGGTCCCTTTCCCTGAGCTGAGGTTAGCTTTTTTTATATTTCTATTGTTATATACAAATTTAAGGGGAGTAAAAGCGTATT